TACATAGTTATCCTTACATAGTTATCCTTACATAGTTATCCTTATATAGTTATCCTTACATAGTTATCCTTACATAGTTATCCTTACATAGTTATCCTTACATAGTTATCCTTATATAGTTATCCTTACATAGTTATCCTTACATAGTTATCCTTACATAGTTATCCTTACATAGTTATCCTTATATAGTTATCCTTATATAGTTATCCTACATCATATTTTTGAGGCAAATTTATATTTGCCATTCTATAGCGCATAAAGAATATGCATTACTTGGTTGATCCTACCAGTAGTTAACTTTTCTTTGAGAGAGAGAGAAGGTTGTTCCGCTGCCTCTTAAGGAGGCATTGTTTCACCCCCTCCTCAAGAAGCCATCACTGGAGCCCACCATGCTGGCAGTTTCTGTCCAACGTCTAACCTCCCTTTTCTAGGGAAGGTTGTGGAGAAAGTGGTTGCACAGCAGCTTCAGTGGGCCCTGGATGAAGCGGATTACCTGAACCCTTTTCAATCAGGAGTCAGGTCTGGGCCTGGGACGGAGATGGCATTGGTTGCGCTTTTAGATGATCTCTGGCAGGAGCGGGACAGAGGTAGTGCAGTTGTCCTTGCTCTTCTTGACCTCTTGGTGGCCTTCGATACCATTAACCATGGTATCCTCCTGGTTCAGCTCCATGGGTTGGGAGTGGGTGGCACAGTATTGTGCTGGTTCACTTCCTTTCTGTGGGACTGGTACCAGTCAGTGCTGATTGGGAGAGGTCCTGCCCTTGATTCCTGTTATGTGGAGTTCCACAGGGTTTGGTACTCTCTCCACGTCTATTTAACATCTACATGAAGCCGCTGGGTGAGATCGTTCATCATATGCTGATGATACCCAGTTATGTATCTCCACCCCTGGCGAACTAAGCAGTGCTATTGATGTCTTGTCCCGGTGCCTGAAGGCTGTGGGGGTCTGGATGGGGAACAACAGGCTTCAGCTAAACCCTGACAAGACAGAGTGGCTTTGGGTTTTTGGGCCTTCTGGATCTGGAACTTTACCATCTTTGGTTCTGGATGGGGTTGCAATACCCTAGACACCCCATGCACAATCTGGGGGTCCTTCTAGACTCACAACTGCTCCTCAAGGAGTAGGTGGCACTTGTGGTTAGGAGGGCCTTTGCACAGCTTCATGTTGTGCACCAGTTGTGCCCCTTCCTAGACCACGAAGCTCTACTCTGTCATTCATGCTCTGGTCACTTCCAGACTGGATTACTATAATGCGCTCTACATGAGCTACCCTTGAAGAGCATCCAGAAGCCTCAACTGGTGCAGAGTGCAGCTGCGTGGACAGTTATGTGCACCCCTGGGACAGCACACATTACACCTCTGTTCTGCGAGTTGCACTGACTGCCAGTTTGTTTTGGGTGCAATTCAAGGTGCTGGTTTTGACCTTTAAAGCCCTACATAGCATGGGACCAGGTTACTTGAGGGACTGCCTTTTCCCAATTACATCCACCCATCCCATCAAATTGAGCAGGAGGGGTATGCTGCAGGTCCCACCTCCAAGGAGTTCCATCTGGCGGGACCCAGACAGCGTGCCTTTTCTGCTGTGGCCCCTGCCCTCTGGAACATCATTCTGCCTGTGGCCCCCATCCCTGTCTACCTTCCAGAAGGCCCTTAAAACCTGTTTTTTCCATGAACCTTGGGGATCCCATGGTGAGCCTGCAAGATGGTTATATGTCAAATGATGGTTTTTTTCCCACACTCTTGGGTTTTTTTTATGCTTTTTTATTTATGTTTGCTCATTGTATGGTTTTAATTGTTAATATGTTTGTATGCCGCCCAGAGTCACATTTCGTGAGATGGGGGCTATATAAATCTAATAAATAAAATAAAATAAAATAAAATATTGCTTTGGATTTTATTTGACAAATGAAATGTGTTTAAGTATCTTTGTTTTTACTAATGGCAAAGGAAGAAGTTACATTTCAGTTGGCATTGCTGCCCCATGGATGTGGGGTGCCTTTAAATCAGAGATCCCTTAACCTGAAAGAATGAGGCATATAAGGCAAGAATGTTCTTGTTTTCTTTTTCTGACTTAATAGTAAAAGCACCTGCTTGTGTTTTCCAGGACTACAGTTAAGCAGCCAAATCAAAGGATGTCTTGTAACAACATCGTCAGACAAATGTGTGAAAATTTGGGACATCCTGGGGGACAAGCCTACTTTAGTCTATTCCAGAGATATGAAAATGGTAATTTCAAGGGTTTTTTTAGTGCAGCCATACCTATAGAGTCTTATTATTTTTTGGAGTGTAGAATGAAACTATGGTGAGAATCCAGGTTTGTGTAATATTGTAATGTACTAAACTAATATTGTGTATAATATTTGTGTGAAACAAAATTAGAATACTAATCAATAGTATAACCTCATGATATGGAACAAATAGCCTGCATTTTGTGAACTGTGGTACTGTATTGCTTTTAAGGTTTACATAAACTTTTAAGACTTTGGATATGTACAACATCTACCTAGATTAAGCTCGACTTTAATTCACTGATTTGAGTTAGAAATGTGTTTGGTTAAAGAGGTAGATAGTTTATTGAGTCAACAGAGAATCAGGAGGGTATCTGTCTTCTGCCTGCAGGGTACCCTGTTCTGTGCAGCTTGTTGTCCAGATCTGCCATTTGTCTATGCCTTTGGAGGAGAGAGGCAGGGACTACAGCTCTGGGACATAAGCACAATTTCCACAGGTGATTATCCTCATTCATTTTCTAGTTATATAATCCTAAGAAATAGGGCAATTTCTGCTTTAAAGTTAGGGTTTTTAACCTTTTTTTTTTTTTTGTATTATAGTGAATGATGTTTTTGGAACTCGACAGAGGCTAGCAGTTGCCACATCAAGTTCTGAAGGAAAGAATTCTGATAATAGTAGTAGCAGCTATGGAGAAGCTGCAATGGAACCATGAAATAAGCTTATATAGTTTTTTATGAAAGTATTTCATCTTGAAACATACTAGGTAAACCAAATGTTATATTTTTTGACCTGCTTTTAAGGCCATGTTACCATGAAGCTTCTGAGCTGTTAGCCACCTAGAAATTGGAACATGCCAGTACTAAAAGACTAGCAATAATTTAACAAATTAATCTTCCAACACATTCATTTGAGTTAAGAAAGATACACTTGGGCATTCTGATGCATATAATAGCTACCTTAAATCTTTTGTCATTGGCCATCTGTGGTTTAAAAGCTGTTGTCTAATTATGTTAGCCAATTTTCTCAGAACTCAAAAGAAGCTGTCTATTATGGAAAGTTTTAAATACACTGTTCTTAATCAGGATTGGATACCATGTCAGAGCATGTATCTCTGAGCCTATATAAATATATTATCAATCAAGGCACATGCTAATTAATAAAATCCAATTTGGCATAAATAAAATGGCTAAGGTTAACAATCTTGGGTTTATCTCTTTGATACGGACCATTAATTTAAATATATTTCTAGGAGAACCATCAATGTCATCTTACTTAACATTGACTGAAGAGCAAAATGTACAGATAAATTAATGGTTTAATTTAATAAAGCGAAAATGCTATGATGAAAAATAATTCCTACATACTGGGAAAAAAACCCTTAGAGGGTGAAAATGAAAGTAATGAGTACGCACATTAAAAAGCAGTATTTTAATTTTTTGTAAGGAAACAAATCTTAATGATAGCTTCATTCCATAAATATATTAGCAGCAGAATTTCCCTTTCAAAATAAGTGGTTACCGGTTACAGTATACAATAACCATTGTATGTCAAACTCATGCTAAAACTAAGCCTGCATTTCAAACACAAGCATTAGCATGCCTTACTGTATGGATCCCATACTATATTTTTGCTTTCTAAACCTCTGGAAATGCTCAGTTGTCAACAGATGAGCAAATAATTCATTGGTATACAACAAATATCAATTTTATGAACTTTCTAAGAGCCAAAAGTAATTTATTCAATAAAAAAGCACTATACTGCAATGAAAAAATTTGGTTTGTGCATACTTTCACATTAAAAGTACCTTTAACAGAGACAGCTGATGCTGTTTCAATTGTATCCATCATGCATCAACCAAGTCACCAATGATACCATTTTAATAGATGAACGTGAGTAATTATGTTGTTTTAATGTTCACTCTGAAAACAGAAGCCGTTTCCATTATGGATGAGAATTTGGCCACTGAGTGGAAGTTTACACATGTTAATTCAATAATTTTAGGAATTGTCTTGTCTGTGACAAGAAAGTGTATCACCTGTCACATACATGGTGGTTCTGAGTCGACAGTTTTCATTTGTTGTAGAATTTATCAATTCTTCTTCCTCTGAAGACTCTTCTTCCTCCTCTTCTTGAGCTGAGAGACTAGAGGTTGGTCCTTTACAAATTTTTAAATGGCGAGTAAGGTGGTATTTTGTTAAATAAGCCTTGGAACACTTTTCACAGACATAATCCCTCTTTCCTTCATGAGAGTTTAAATGTTTCTTTAGGTGATTTGTCCTTAAGAATAGCTTCTCACATTGTGGACATTTGATCTGGCGCTCTCTAAACAGGAGTGGGTATGGAGAAGAGAAATAGCATTTTAGTCATGAGAACATGAAAACAATTTTTATATTTGATGATTCTTTTGAACTTGAAAGCTTGTGGGATACAAATATCACACAGTTGTTCTAATCTTAAATTACCCATTTAACATACAGAAAACCACACTTTCACATGCATAAGATTTTGCCATGCTGCAAGTTCAGGGGAAAAATAATCAGAAATGTTGTTTCCTTTGTTCACCCACCACATATTTGGAATTTCAGTATTCCTGTTTGACCCTGGAAGAATTCCAGTCTATGAAGTATAGGAGGAAACAGACAACACTGGTTGATCTTGAAAAGCCAAGCAGATTGGACCTAGTAACTACTTGGATGGGAGAAAACCAGGTTATCCCAATGCTGTACACTATATTAGAAAGTCAAAATATCACACAAAGTGGCAAGAGCAAACTACTTCCATATTATTGGCAAGAAAATTACAAGGATATGCATATAAAGTCAGCAGGCATCAAGCTTCTTAAAATATTTCTTCTTTTATACCTACCTACTATATCTGAATTTTGCATATAATATTTTTAAAGAAATACATAATTCTAGTCTTAGCACAGCATAGTGTTGACCTAATAAAATGGTTATTGAAAGAATTCCATATACATAAAAGTTACATTTGTACAGTAGGTGAATCCAGACTAAAATTGGATTGGTAGTTTATAATTCAATGTCTCCCAGCCACTTTCTTAGTACCTTCCATGTCCATTTTTAACCAAAATCTATCTTTTGACACTACCAAAAATGGTCTGTGCCACATTCAGAATCCCTTATCACTCTTGTAAGATCTCACAATCTTTCATCATAATCAAATTTATCATGCTTTAAGATTTATATTAATTCCTTTGCCATATGTGCATACAAATAGCCTTATGGTTAGTTTCATAATCAAAATAGACCTTTTCCTAAGCAGATTTTTATCAAACAGCCACCATTTCATATCTGAATAGCCCAAGCATTTTTCTGTACTCATTCCCACCGTACATTAATCTTAATCTAGCAAAATACATTTTCCCCATTACATAACTATTCACAAAACTCATTGCTGGTCCTTCCATTATCACCATTAACTAGAATGCAGCATGCAACAATCACAAACCTATGGATTCTTTTATATGCATCTATAATACTTTTGATTATACCAGTTCATACATACATTTTAGTCTTTCATTCATAATTAAGCCCACACTTTCAATTTCTTGCATGTGTTTGTCATTTCTACAAGACTAGATAATCTTCCAATGAAATTTGTTATATTCTTCCCCTTTCTCTTAGATACACAACATATCTTTTATTTCATGTCACTAATTAATTCATACCCTTTACCAATCTTACATATGCAATGGTTATCACTGATCTCTACCACCCAACATGGTTTTGGTCAATTAAGACTCTCATATGATAATTTTTTTGGTAAGATGAGGGAGGTAAATACTAGCTTATCTGCATAGGAAGCACATTCTTGACACTATTTTCCATAATTCATTTTTCTTCTGATAAACCTGGGTTTCTCTTGAGAACTGTCACTCCTATCACTATCATAAACCTTTTCAATAAGGACCTCTTTAGTTCACAGGCAATAAATGAAACATACACACACACATGAACACACAGAAATAATTTGGTCTGTCTCCTGAATGACTCACTGTGTATGGGTAAGCACATGTTGCTTGAGATCTTGACGCCGCATAAATAGTTTATCGCAATAATCACACTTCAGATTTTTTTCTCCAGTGTGGATAACCATATGTGTCTCTAGGTGGGCCTTCTGAGTAAAAGACTTTTCACAGAGTGCACAGCGATAGTTCTTTTGACCTGAAAATAGATATAAACCATTTACATAAGATCATTTCATCCCATCCCACCCACAGAACAGTAAATATAGATTGAAATTCCAAGTTATCAACATGCTTGATATTACAATAGGGCTGTCTGATACATTTTAATTCTGCAAGTAACTAATGGCATGGAATATGTCTGAATCTTCTTATGTTCTGCTATAGACAACAAAATATGCATAACTCTCCAATTCTCTAAAATCATCATGTCACACATGATGCAAATCCTAAATAACAAGGCAACACAATCCTCCATTTTAAGAAGGAACAAACAAGATCAGTCTTCACTGTGACAAAATTATTCAATATGTCCTAAATACTTGTTTGGAAAAAGAACTTTAAATTTTGTTCTTCCTCACTTACCTGTATGAATTTTAAGATGTGTACGCAGATTGCTGGGGTCACTAAAGGCCTTGCTACAGAAGTCACACTTGTGTGGCTTCATACCTATATGCCCCATGAAGTGAACATGAAGTTTAGAAGGTGAGATGAAAGCTTGAGGGCACATAGAGCATTTCCACTTCCTTTCCTTACTGTGTCCTGGTCCATGGGTGCTGCTGTGCCCCTGACTGGGGAAGTGGCTGTTAAGATGACTACTCAGATGGACCTTGAACTCTGCATAGGAAGCACATTCTTTTCCACAGTGACAAGTGTGCACATCAGGATGCTCAGGAACACCTTTAAGACAGGTAGTTGTTTATGATGCAGCAAAAAGTAGGAACCAAAAAAAATAATAGGAATGCAATGAAAGACATCCTAAATTTAAAATGCATAAAAAAACTTCAATCTTATATTTTGTTGAAGTAGGCTGATGTTACAAAATAAAGAACAAGAAACAAGAATGAGACATTATTAGCTGACTTACTGATTAAGTTTGAATGACCTGTTTTGTTCAAAACATGAAGAAAGTAAATAGCTTACCACTAAATCCAATCAGATGAGACAGAGGAAAATAAAATTCAGAAGCTAAGTCTAAGCTTTTATTTGTATCAGATTTAAGCTCCCCACATGGATCATACTTCCAGAAGTAATGCTCAGTATGGTCACTGTTCCAGGCCTGAGAGCTACAGTCCAAAACATCTGGAGAATGCTATATTTGGGAAGCCTTGCTTAACTGCTTACCAATCTGGCGGGCATAGTCACGACTATAGTAAAAAAGGAGCTCGTGGTCTGGAGGGATATCGCGTGAAGTGCAGAAGTAAATCTTTCCATCATGAGGGTAGGCTACCAGATTTTGTTCTTCCCGGTTCCTATTTCACAGAGGAGAAAATCTTAAAACATAAGTATTCAAAGTTACATGATATCTATCACAAATATCCCTAGATTATTTAATATTCTACACTCAAGCCAATTTTAAAACAATCTGCAGCAACATTCTCTGAACAAAAATAAACATGTCTTTGAACTGTGGTGCTGGAGAAAATTGCTGAGTATATTTGGACCATAAGAACAAAACATTCAGTACCAGATGAAGTTAAACCAGACTGGTGACTGAAAGCAGCAGTATCAAAACAAAAAATATTCTGGACACATAATGTGATAGCAAGAGTCATTGGAGAAGACTCTGAAAAAGAAGCCAAAAGAAGCCAAGGCGGCTAGATACTATCCTTGGTTGCACAGGCAGAAGTTTGTAAGAATTCAAAGCAGTTCTGGCAGAGAATCCCTGACATTATGTCCATCGGGTTGCAAAGAGTCAGAAAGGGCTGAATGAATGAATGATGAGGTTCACTAATTTCTACTTATCAGAAACAATTTCTTTTCAGTTGAAGGGACAGACTGTTAAACTATTTTATTGTGCTGTGGTCCAGACACAAGAAAGCAAGTACCAACTTTGATGGGGGCTGAAGTGTTAGATATTTTTTATTTCTACCTAGAGCCCATCCTTCTCTTGCCTCCATGATGAACCTGCAGATTTTAGTGTCTGATTAGCTACCAAACATGCATTTCAATGTTTTTTTTCCCAAGCCACTTTGCAAAAGCTCTGATACTCTGTTGTTCTCACATTTCTAAAGTACTGTAGCACTTTATTTAGTCTTATTGGGTACATATGTGTTATACAGTCAGG